TATGTAGTTGCATAAGAATAAGTTATTTGCCTGACTTTTTGTATAACTTTCTCTAGCTTTATGGAAAAAAGTCACTAATGGGATTGAAAGAGAGTATTTATGTAACACTTTCTACATATTTTATCATTTTAAACTCAGATAACCCGGTGGTATAAATAAGATTAGTAAATCCCCCTTTTTCCAGTGAGGACAAAGGCACAAATTTGTTTTAGGGAAGACAAGACTTAGCTCTGTGTTAGATGGGAATTACACATATCTTTCTTTAAGCCACAATATCCTTCCCTAGTTCTACTTTCTCTTTCTACTTTCAAGAATCTTACTCACTCCCGGCAGGCGTGCTGCTGAGGCATGAGTATGGCGTCTCGCGGCCGGCGTCCGGAGCACGGTGGACCACCGGAGCTGTTTTATGATGAGAAAGAAGCCCGGAAATACGTTCGCAACTCACGGATGATTGATATCCAGACCAGGATGGCTAGGCGAGCACTGGAGCTTCTTTATCTGCCAGAGAATAAGCCCTGTTACCTGCTGGATATTGGCTGTGGCACTGGGCTGAGTGGAAGTTATCTCTCAGATGAAGGGCACTATTGGGTGGGCCTGGATATCAGCCCTGCCATGCTGGATGAGGCCGTGGACCGAGAGATAGAGGGAGACCTACTGCTGGGGGATATGGGCCAGGGCATCCCATTCAAGCTGGGCACATTTGACGGTTGCATCAGCATTTCTGCTGTGCAGTGGCTGTGTAATGCTAACAAGAAGTCTGAAAACCCTGCCAAGCGCCTGTACTGCTTTTTTGCTTCTCTTTTTTCTGTTATCGTCCGGGGATCCCGAGCTGTCCTGCAGCTATACCCTGAGAACTCAGAGCAGTTGGAGCTGATCACAACCCAGGCCACAAAGGCGGGCTTCTCCGGTGGCATGGTGGTGGACTACCCTAACAGTGCCAAAGCAAAGAAATTCTACCTCTGCTTGTTTTCTGGGCCTTCGACCTTTATACCAGAGGGGCTGAGTGAAAATCAGGATGAAGATGAACCCAGGGAGTCTGTGTTCACCAATGAGAGGGTCCCATTCAGGATGTCGCGGCGGGGAATGGTGAGGAAGAGCCGGGCATGGGTGCTGGAGAAGAAGGAGCGGCACAGGCGCCAGGGCAGGGAAGTCAGACCTGACACCCAGTACACCGGCCGCAAGCGCAAGCCCCGCTTCTAAGTCACCACACAGTTCTGGACAGGCACTTGCCTCTGTA